TCGCGTCGTAGTTTTAAGTAAATTATAACATAAGTTATAATTATAATATTCGGTCGAATACTGAATAAAAACGTATTTAATATGTATTGTTTCAAAATTGTACGGCGTAGGAAGGAAACGCTTATTAGAACGATGTAGGATCGTAAATTTGAAATAAAACTTTGTGTAATTATTATAAAGTTGGAACGTTTATAATAATAAGAGTTACAAAAAACGCTGTTAAGTGAATTATTAGTACTGCGAGTAACGGAGAATGGAAAATACGTTTAACTTTCGTAACTAATGTTTGTGAATACAGTTCCATTCATTTGGATTTGAACTACTCTGACAATGAAAGGAATTGAAACACTCAATTAAAAGTTACTTTCTTCACAATCTAAATTTAACCGAACTCTCAAGTATTTCATAAATTTGTCTCATTCTGCACATTATATTTAAACATAAAATATAAATAAATTTTTGTACGTAAGTATAAACTTTTAGACAGTTAGTACATCTAATAATTTATATTATTATTATACGATTAATATTGAAGGATATTTAATTTTCTATTTGAAATACGTAACTGCCCGAGCATACGAGGATAGCAATGATTGTCAAATTACATTATTTACATTTTTGATTACTCCTGGAATTCAATGTCATAAAATATTTTATATATACGAATAGATCTGCCACATGTATACAAGATTGTTGAAAAGTTTTGCATAGCATATATCAAATTTTAGTACTGAAAATAAAGAATATTATGTAACTTTAAGATGTGTCCATTTAGGCATGAATGAAATTTAGTATTAATATTGAGAAATTCGTAAATAATCAAATAGAGTCACTATATTACATTTATAAAATCAATAATTAAGACTAAGACTGAAGTTTAAGTATCCGAAATTAAGATTTAAATGTGGTGATTATCTGACAAATGATTATCAAACAAATTCTACAAATTTTACATATAAACTTTATACATATATAACGCACATAATGCATATAATAAACATTCGAATACGTATATCGGATCATTCAAATGCATACAAATTTATATTTTGTCACATATTCGTACTCATAATTTTATATCAACAAATTTATATGTTTATAAAATATTTTAATATACAAATATCAATTATTTTATATATTATTTATAAGGTACATTAATATAAAAAATATTAAAATTATTAAGATCATTGATTATAAAAAAATATCTAATCTAATCGTAAATATTTTAATTATAGGCAAAACGAAAGTTCAATTTTAACATGTATAAGGGGTAATAATTTCTTAATTTATTAGTTGAGCACAAGTTAAATCTCATTATGAGAATCTTATTATAATTTTACTAAGATAACAATATTTTATAGCAGTACTATTTCACTAGCATTATCCATTAACTAATGAAATTTTTCAAAATAAGTTTACTAATTTAATGTAACCCTAACAAATATACACGCAATACAAATGCATATAATTTATCGGTGATATATTCAAATAAATTTCATACATACAATTTTTTAATTTCAACATTATTATAATTATTATTAGTGAACAATTAAAATTATAAAGTTAAAATTTTCTATGAATATCTAGTAGTTAAAACAAATAAATGACTGACTTCAATTTAAAGATGTTTATAAAATCGGTTATAAATTATAAAAAAAATTGATGTTTAAAAACGTTGCTTTCGCTTAATAATCGTTTAGAAACCTTAAAACTTTAAAAATAGTAAATTTAGTGAGCCATAATAAACAAATGATTGGTAAATGTTACCTCATCAAGCTAACTTCAGGCTTGGTTTAACAATTATATTAGATTCGATTCGCCTGTATAGTAAATTATATTGTGAATAGTCTATTACTTTATCCTTAGATTATTAATTAAAATTAGATCTATATATTAATGTCATTAAAAATTCCATGTTAAAGTATAAATATGTAATAAAATATAAAGATTTTTTTTATAATTCTGTATGGTCTATTCACTGTTAGTCAAGATATACTCTATTTAATAGGGAAATAAATAATAGATTATTGCGTCCTTTATATATGTATATATAAAGGGCTATCTAATATGCAATAACACATCTTTAGAGAAATATCAGTTATTTATGGATTTAGCGAGTAAATTAACTATTGATTTGAAATAATAGTAAAATTAAGTTTATCGGAAATATATTTTCAAATTAATTAAATTATTTTGCTATTAAAAATTATCGATCAAGCAGTATCTCAATATTTTTGTAAAATTACGAGCTTGGACTTTGCCGCTTTATCTTAACGTAAAGCGCATGAATTAATTTATTATTAATAATGTCAGATATAATAGGTCTATTTTCCTTGCACAGAAGCAACTGAAAATTAAATGAAGCAATATTTTCATCAGTGAGATAGATGTCGACATTTTTCTCTTCGCAAAACCTACATTATACATTGGTTCAACGCCAAAGAAATATTTCGTCCTTGAATTCAAAAGTAATTTTTCAAAATTAGTTACTTGCAAAACTGTATAAATAATCTTCTATAGAATAATAATTATTAATATATAATAATAAGAGCTTTAGAAGCTTTAGAAGCTGTTATTATAATCTAATGAATATAAGCCTCGACAAATAATTCAAGGGAATGAACTTGAAAAAAATAATAATGATAGTTCATAGCAAGATAATTCTGAAGATTTTAATTAAAGAAGCTTTTCCTGACATTTTGTACGTTTTTTGCGTGTTTACGACACTTTTAATAGCTTTTGCCAATGGAAGTTACTATTTAACGAGATCAAGCATCTTAAAAAAAAATATAAAAAAATCCAAGCACCTGCGTCGCCTAAACATTTTAGATTCAATTTATAGTTAAATCATTGGGCCCAAAGCGAAGAAAATAAATAAATAAAACTCAGATCGAACATCAAGGATTTCTCTTATTTCAACTTAATCGAACACGTAAACAATAATAAGCCTACAATGCAGAAACGGCTAACTAAATATTATGCTAATGAGAGAATTATCACTCAGAAACATCGAAGCTTGCATGAAATGTGCTTTGGAATTATTACCATCTGACTAGTAATCTGATTATCAATTAAACAATAGTTCTCCCCTTTATATCTTTCTGTGTGTGATTGCCTCGCAGCAACTCGAGTTTCCTAGAATAGCAGATATTCGTACTAGGAAGGGGTCAGTTACAATGTACTTGAGAAAAATATTGGGTAAGGCTAGTTATTTTTGTTTGTTACTGTAGCGAACCGATTATAGAAATATTTAAGAACGCGTGACAGTAATAAGTGCGTACTTCAATGACGTATGCTATTCAAATGATTGAAAGTACGTATTGTTTTAGTTTTTTCTCTTTCTTCAAGCATACGCGATATTACCTAGCTGAATCAAATTGCCGTTTGCGTAGAAGTTACAAAAACATAGTTACGTTATACAAACAACGGTTTTCTGGGCTCGGCAACTAATTATGAAAGATATTTTGTGCGCTGCGCTCGTTAAGAAATCCTGATACTGGGAGCAGGGATATATCTGTAATCGTCGATAGTTAAATCACTAGTGGTAAATTAGCGAATGAACGTAGCGCTGATTTAGAAATAGTGAAATTCTTGTCTTTATTTGTCTGCGCAAACCTCCAACTTAATTTGTTGTAATTTGTAAATCCTATGGAATTTCTTGAAAATGCACTATTTCCTATGCCATTCTTTATTAACATCATAAATTTGTAGCACATAGCCATGCTTATATTTCAAATGCGTTATAATTTAATAATTTGGAAGACATTGCATAAACTTCAAATTGCAAGTTGTTTTTTAAAAGAGAAAAGTATTGTGCAATAAATCACCTTGAGTTATTAAATAAAAATTCGAATATCTTCATTTTAAATGTTAAATTATAAATTATAATGGTTTAAATTTTTACAATTATGAGATGAATTTTAGCAATTTGAGCAATATATGCAAAATTATTAAAATATGCAAAATATATAATTATTAGAATATGAAAAAATATGCAGAAAACGTGCAAAAGAAAAACTTCATAATGAAAATGAATTTCAAAAATAATAAACTTAGTTTATATTCAAATTTCGTCTTTATTTGGCTTTATTTTGTCTATATGAAACTGAACTGTGTATTAAATCATCAAGTTGCATTCCATGAATTAAAAAGGTCTTTGTAATTCAATTCTTTTTATATTATTTTTAAAAAGAAAAAAATCGTAATGTTTAATTATGTACATTTAATGTAAAAAAAATTATTTGTGATAGAAATTTTTACTTTACACAATTATGACACTTTGTAGATAAGTGATTTTCATCACTTTAATGTAAATTCGACTTTTTCCTTTCCCTTTTTATTATTAATATAAATATTTATTAATATAAGTCTAATGTGTTTCATGTTTTCAGGGCCATGTGAAAGATAAGTTGCATGACTACTATGTGCATTAACAACTCGGTTATAATAGAAATGATTTCCTATTTAGTCCTTTTCCCACATTTAATAAACCGTACAAGTCTTCGCAAACTGAATTATATTCAATCTTCTGAAACTATTAATTATATTTCAATGAAATGGATAAAGCCAAGATTAAAAATTACAGAAAGTATCAGTAATTTCATCACGGACACTGTATTTTCCAATTTACCAACTCTCCTATTAATTATCAACATAGAAACAATGATATTAAATTCATCCGTGTAAGAGAATAATAGAGCATTGTTGATTAAAACAATGAATAGTAATAAGACGAAACGATAATAAAATTTTGTAATGTAAAACAATAAATAAGTATTAAATAAGTGACAAAGAAAAGACAGAAGAAAAAAATCTTCCAAAGCCCGAGTATGTTCTCTCAGTATATCAAACTAATCTACATTTTCCGAGTCACCGAAAATAAATAAAACATTATGTAAAACATTGCAGCTGACACGTAGCAGAGCGAAGGAGGTAATCGGGTATCAGCGAGGTTGTCGACCGCTATAGTCGAGCTGAAAGGATCAAAAGCAGGCAAGAAAGAGGAATAGGATAAATAAAAATGGGGAACGCGCGATCGCAGCAGCCAAGCAAGCCGCTGTGCTTCCTACAGCTCATCCGACGCTCCTGGAAGATGATGTCGAGCGGTGACGAAGGCACAAAAGGAGCCGATGATATCGATGATTGCGCGACTGATCTTTCAACTACATCTCGATGCAGCGGATGCAAAGGATGTATCTTCAGTCGTGAGCTTAACTTTGATAGGTAAGATATCTGTTTTATCTATCATTATTCTATTATCCACCGTCGGTAACATCGTCGTGAACCGCTTATCGATATGAAGTATCGTAACGTAACACCAGGATTATTAACTAACACCTATACATAAGAATAATTCAATGCTTAATTATCATCTTGATTTAACATTTATTCGATTTCCCTTACATAGAAAGTTAGGTATAAGAGACTTCCGTGTACCAAAGGACTTATAATAAAAAAATATTACATCATCGGATTTTACTTCCCCAAAGAGTAAAAAATCACATTTCTATAACGATATTCGAGAGATGGCACCACCTTCACTCCAGAATTCTTACCCTTTCACAGATCTATGAAACGTGTTTACGCGTGATTCAAAGAAAAATCTTATTAATTAATAACATCATATTTGGTAGCTTATGTCCTTTCTTTGTTGTAGATAGCAGACATATATTTTATGTTCTGTAAAAAATGCTTTTTGTATAATACTTGTTTTGATGTTCTATTGCCGACATCGATTGGATTTCAGTAAAAATTAGGTAGATAATTTTTCTGAGCTTACTTGGCAACCTAAGGACACAGAATATTAGGTATGTAGTTGTTTCACGTTGCATGCAACATGTTCGCCTGCCGAATGTCAAAAATTTTAAGCCAACTACAGTATTCCTGCACTGCTGCATAAATTACGACTTACAAAACACATATTTCAATGAAAAGATTTTCTCCATTATCTAGTGCGCTTAACTAGTATGGTGTGAGATCACAATATATTACGATGATGTATTATAATTAATCTTAATCTAAAAATTCTTTCACATTTGTTACTTTTGTTAAAATATAATTTTAAGAATACTTTGAAAAACTGTGGCATAAAAAATAAAGTGCAATTAATCTTTAACTTTAATAATGACTTTTTTACGCATATTACTATTACAATATAAAATTATACTTTCCTGCAATAATGAGCAAAACTTGATTATTACGTGTAATAAATGTGTTTGTAAAAGTTATTTTCTAAATATAGATGTACGATTATTTCCGTATGTTAAACTACTCATGAATCGAGACTTTTATTCCAAGCAAATTAGAGAAAATTAGTGATCGTAAAATTGGTCGTTTAACAAATTGTTATAATTCATTCCATTCGATTGATTTTATTTGCTATAAAGTTTTTAAAATAAGGAAATGAATTATAAACAAAATTTTTCTATGTTTTTTATCATTTGGAAAAAACGATAAAGATATTAATTCTGTTTTATTAATTTGCAACTAATACTTTTCTGTTTTAATGGCTAAATAAATTAAATTTAGTAGACATATTTCATTCGTGATTTTTTTTTTTTTACATAAATATCTTTATATGTTAATCATCTAATTAAAAAAAAAAGTTTTTAGTTTCAAATTTGTTTATTTAAAATAGTTATTTGAATACTATACAATTTTTAAATTTCATTTTTTTTTATTAAAAATATATAATAATAGAGACATTAAGAGAAAATATGTATTTTCAAATAAATCGTAAATCATACGAATTGTAAAATTATAATTTTATAATTCAGAATGCAGAATACTTTGTTCATAATATATAAATATAATAATTATATAGTATATTATTAAAATTGTACGTTAATGTAAAATAATATACATTTGTTTTAAATTAAAAAATTAATTAATTAAAAGTCATTTGGCTTATGTAGAGAATTATAACTAATAAGCTAAAAATATCTAACCAATACTTTAGAGTCTATTAATTTTTTTAATTTCAATCTTTCATTAATAATTTTCTTTTATATACCATTTTGGCTCAAATTATTTATAATTATTTATGTTACCGAATAATTAAATTAGTAAAATTCAAACATATATAATTCAAAATTTAAGATATAGTTTTCATGTACTTCTATTTATACATAATTTTAGAAAATGTTTTGGAAAAGTCATATAACTTTATAATTTCTTTAGAACATAAATGTATATAAACATAATCATATATAATAACAACTTTTAAGAGTTAGGAAGTGTTGCAATAGTGATGTGTATCTCACAGGGTTTAATATGTTTTTAAGAAACTATGTATAATTGAATGTATGTATATATATATATATATATATATATATATATGTGTGTGTGTAGATAGATAACAAATATTAGCTTTAAATGTAGTCATAATATCGATACATATATTTAATAAGATAATTTCAGATGCAATAAGATTAATGACAATTTATCATAAAGTAATATTAAAATATTTCAAATAGTACCATTTAAATTTATAACCATAAGAATCATAATTATACTATCTATAATGAAATACTTTTGAAAAATACAATACATATAATTGATATATTAATTTAATATATATTTAGTAATTATAAATTGGCTTCCCGTAAAATCTCTTTCATAATTTATTTCTTATGAAATAAGTAGTTTAGAATTTTCATTTAAAGCTTTAATTTGTTTATTTCTTTTTATTGAGCACATGTGATGAACATTTCATAATTTACAGCAATAAATATTAATTGAAAAGAGCTCAAGCTTCTAAGTGATAATTCTGTAGAATGTTACTTAAATAAAAAAATGAGCATCGAAAGATTACAATCAAATTAATGATAGCTTCTGTATCTTTTACAGTATTAAAAAAAATCTCTATTTAAAATACACAGCTTAGTCCTTATCTATATTTAGATATATTCATTCCATTAAAATAACAAAATAAAATAAATCCAAAAAAGTAGATGTACTGCGACTATTTTAATTAATGTATTAATATAAATTCATTGAAAATGAAAAAGTGTACTGAAACCAGAATATAGCGCTGTTCATTATTTAAAACTACATAAAATTAGTCATTTATAAATAAGAAAATTATCGGTTGCTTAATACTTTTCTTTTTTATTCTAAATATCATACATACTTCAATCTATGAAAAATGTTGAAGAAGATAAATATTGTTAGGTCTAATTCTCGCTGTGACCAAACTAAATTATGTTTAAATTTCGATTCGTAATAATTCGCAGAACAATAGTTTCAAATTATGACATAAATATATATTCTGAATTATGTTATAATGAAATGCCTTTCCACATAAAATAATGCATTTAAAAATGCAAACTTAAAAATTTGAAAATTAAAAATGCAAATATAAAAATTTGAATGGTAATGTATACTAACATTCATTCATTTTTGTATCTTACTCGTATGCTTTTGTAATATATTCAAGATTTAACGAAGCGTTCGAATTTTAAGAAATCTGAACACTCATTACTAATCTAATTTTCTAATGTTTCCTTCTTTTTTTTTTTTTTATTTTGATTCTTCTAAAATATGTGCATATTTAATATTAGGCGAAATTATATATTTAATATGATTTAATAATTTACCATTTAAATTCATTCAATAATTTAAAAATTTCAATAATTTAACGTTCGAAATAACAAATAAAAATCTTACAAGATTTACAAAATTATCTGTTATATTATAATATTTATCTTTACTAAAAATACCATCCTATATTTATTTACGTTTTTCTATACTTTCTAATAGTTACCAAGCGTACCAATAAAATCTCTTGAAACTTTCTCGAATGATGATTAAAGAAAATATAACCAAATAACCCTGATATAAAATACTGAAGGACCATTTTAACTTTCTTAAATAATCTACATGAAATTTAAAATTTTCCGTAAAATTTCTTTGGAATCAATTTCAAAATAAAGTGAAATTACAAGTGATTAATCGAAAAAATGATGATCATGGTCGAATACATTTTTATCAAAGAATCGTCAAAGGGAATTGAAAAATGCTCATTTGGATTACAAGCAAGAAATTAAATAAGATTTAGTAGGTTATATAACAAAAATATATATGCAAATATATACGAAAAATAATATTCATTTCATTCGATTATTGCTCCCCAATGAATTAAAACATGCAACGAAGTACCTGTTATACAATCCTACGTATCGTATTATCCAATACCATTACGCGTGTCATTAGAATTCTATCATTTCCGCTGAAGTAGTAACAAACACCAAAACAATTAATCATCGCGCCTGAAAACAATAAAACGCCACGCTTTTAAAATGTTAGATTTCATAGTATTTGTAAATGAAGATTTAACTTTTGTTAAATCTTAAGTTTTTTATGTACTGAAATAGATGTTATTTATTAAATAATAATGAGTACTATGTATATATAGTCAGTACTTATTTTATGTCTAATTTTAATGATTTATAGCCTTTGGTAATTTTCAAACTCTCATGAAATATTTTAATTAGTTATTCAAAATTAAGTTAAAAAATATGGAATAAGATTATTTTCATGTATTATATACAAATTTATTAATTCTAAATAATTCTTTGGAAATTTTTTGAATAATAAATTATTTAATCTTAAATTAAATTTATCTTAATTTAAAATTTAGAATTTATATTATTCTATATCCGGTAAGTTAAATAATAGTTATATTTTACTATTCGTTTTGCTCATTCTTAATATATTGGGCGAATATTTAGATCTACAACATCAAAAGTACATTTTCAAAAACTCACACAAGTAAATACTTTGCGTTTATTGCTGTTAAATGAATATTAGTCCTATAAATGGTAATAATAACTTAATAAAATTTTAATACTATATAATTTTTATCATCTATACATTCATAGATGCGCCTATATGTACATTTGAATTATTATAAATTATTGTATAAGCATTCAATATATTCTCTTAAGAATTAATTATTTGGAAAGGCCGTCTTTATGTAATTATGGAAAGAATTTTTTTCTACAACTGTAAATTCTTTACTAGACAAATAAATATAATATTTCTTAATTTCTCTGAAGTTCGATTTAAAACGAAAAAATCGTTTTGCCACTAATAACTTTTGTATCAAAATATTACCAATAAACTACTATACCGAACAAGAAGCATAAGCAATTCCGGTTTATTATTTAGGATCATTAAATAGCTTTAATTATAAAGCGTTTATTACATAAATAACTAATTCT